TTTTTTTTTTTTTTTTTTTTAAGGCTAGTCAAGTGAAGCAATAGGAGTGGAGAGGAAACAAAGAAATCCGTAAGTGGTTGTGATCAATTAGCTGTAAACACCACTGTACTTGGACCAGCCTAAAAAACAGACATTTATCTAAATTTTCTTTAAATATGAATGGAGAAGATATCTGAAAATTCCAAGATCTGAAAACTCACTAATTTAATTTTTCTTTCATGGAAACACAGTAGTATTTCAAGTAGACTAAACATTTAAACAAAACAAGTCTTACTGCTTTCAATCTTTACAATTTTTAACAGAGAGTGAAGCTCACCTAAATATTTGGGGGGAATATTTTCTTTTAGGAACTTGATCAAAATGCCACTGAAAAAGTCCAGGCAATGTTCACAGCCATTGATGAACTCTTGTATGAGCAGAAGTTGAGTGTGCATACCAAGAGTCTACAAGAAGAGTGCCAACAGTGGACAGCCAGCTTTCCTCACCTCAGGTACTGAAGCCCTCCAGTGGACTTGTATTCATGGATAATACTAAAATTTAAAAAGTAGATTTTTTTTTAAAAAAAGCTTGTATTCTAAAATCTTTCTGAGCATGACTTTAATGAATATAAATAAGGCCATGTGGTATAAAGCCTCAGCTAAGAGAAAACTTAAGTTGGTAGAAGTTTCTTAGAGTTTCCATAACTAACAATATGTGATCCTAATGAAGTAAAACTATTTCTACAACAGCAGCTGAGGTCTAGTATCTGGGTACCAAAAAGCCCTTCTTTTGAACAGGATGGTCAGAAAATGTAACTGTTGTATACAATTAAATTCTTACATATACTTGAAACTAGACAGAGGCTGTTCAAGAGCTTCCTTCAGAAACTGCAATAGTACCACTTATTGCACATACTCAAAATTTATAAAGCTTCATGTTCTTAAGAATGTAATTCATAGTTTTCACTAATTTGACTGGGACTTCATCCCATTTTGGCTGATTTAATGAGGACTATTATGAAGCATGAAGGGCAGATTACAGATGTTTGCTTAGATTTGTTGGATTTTTTTTTTTTTTTAACACCAGGCTATAGGTTTATCTTTTCCATCTCCATTCTATGGAAGAGATATACCTGTAGTAAGGCTCTGGATTTACATTTTCTCATTCTTAATCAGTATCAGACTGTATACTGGACTTTTTATGTAGAGCCATCAAATATGTTCAAAATATATCTAGATTTTGTATGTATGCCAGTGAAAGTGCTTAATTGTGTGTATGTTTCTTCATTTTGAAGGATTCTAGGTAGGCAGATAATCACTCCAAGTGAAGGTTACAGATTGTATCCTAGATCCCCTTCTGCTGTTTCTGCTTCATATGAAACAACCTTGTCTCAAGAAAGAGATTCTACTATGTGAGTATTCCATTATGTAAGTATTTCAATGTGCCCTAATATGCAAGTATTATATCCTACCAGTTGTATTAAGGGATTAAAATACTTCTTCCTACTTACTGGTATTTAGTAAAGCATAGCAAATTCTGTTAAGATGGTCCGTAGTCTTTGTGTACATTAAAATTTTATTATGTAATTTTGTTCAAAAAGTTATACCTTTCTTGGAGTGTATTACTCTGTTTTCTGTTGCTTATAACAGAATACCTGAAACTGGGCAATTTATAAGGAAAAGGAAGTTATTTCTTACAGTTCTGGAGGCTGAGAAGTCCAAGGTCAAGGGGCAGGATCTGGGAGGACCTTCTTGCTGGTGGGACTCTCTGCAGGGTCCCAAGGCAGTGCAGGGACTCACATGGCAAGGGGGCTGTTCATGCTAATATGCCAACTCGGGTTTCTCTTTTTTTTTTTATAAAGCTACCAGTTCCCCTTCCACGATAATCCAATAATCCATACATGGATTAAACCATTCACGAGGACAGAACCCCTGAGATCCAATTACCCCTTAAAGGCTCCACCTCTCAACACTGCCAAATTAGGGACTAAATTTCAACATGAATTTTGGAGGGGACAAATATTCAAACCATATAATAGTGCTTAAGGATATTCTTGTTATTCAGGTCTCTATATCTATATATATTTACATACATCTATAAATATGGACACTTCCTTCTTGACATAAATGTGTAAATAGAATGGTTTTTTAAAAATGTCGAAGTCTAAGAAAAAGACTTTTAAAACTTTTTTGAAAAAATGTTGAAATAGTGATTTTTTAATAACATGTAATATTAATTACAATTTAATATCTTTAAAGAAATTAAACTTCAAAGTACTTTTTTTTTTTTTTTGAGATGGAATCTCCCTCTGTCACCCAGGCTGGAACAGTCTTGGCTCACTGCAACCTCTACCTCCCAGGTTCAAGCATTTCTTCTGCCTCAGCCTCTCGAGTAGCTGGGACTGCAGGTGCGCACCACAGCGCCCGGGGTTTCACCATACTGGCCAGGCTGGTCTCAAACTCCTGACCTCGTGATCCACCCGCCTCGGCCTGCCCAAAGTGCTGGGATTACAGACATGAGCCACCACACCCAGCCTTTTTTTTTTTTTTTTTTTTTTGAGATGGAATCTTGCTCTGTCACCGAGGCTGGAGTGCAGTGTGCAATGGCACAATCTCAGCTCACTGCAACCTCCGCCTCCCAGGTTCGAGCAATTCTCCTGCCTCAGCCTCCCAAGTAGCTGGAATTACAGGAGCCCACCACCACGCCCGGCTAATTTTTGTATTGTTGGTAGAGATGGGGTTTCACCATGTTGGCCAGGCTGGTCTTGAACTCCTGACCTCAGGTGATCTGCCTGCCTCAGCGTTCCAAAGTGCTGGGATTACAGGTGTGAGCCACCATGCCTGGCCCAAAGTAATTTTTTAATGGCAAGATCTTTTGAACACCTCAGACTTTTTAAATAGTAGCAAAATAAACCTAAATAGGATTACTTTGAAACCTATACCTATACTTAAATCTACTGTAAAATATAATATCATAGTTTTAATTTATTTAAAAAATTATTCGTATACTTTTTCCCATGGCTGCAGTTTTACTTATTCGATACCTTCCAATAGTTGTAGTAATACTTACTTTTGGAGCCTCCTTGAGTCTGTAGTAATCTCACCAGACCATAAAGTAAAACATTACTGTTAGGGTTATGGGATTTGGGTTATCAACTGATTTTTGGTCAGATAATGATATTTGTTTGCTGTTCCTAAAGTGATTTAAACTCAAGCTGCTGGTCATTAGGCATTCTTTTTAAATTAAATCTCATGCATTATATCGATAAGTTTACTCCTTTAATATAATATAAAAAATTTTACAGCCTAATGTCACCCACAGAAATGATGTATTCTTTCATTCTCTCTGATCAAAATTATATAACTCATATTCTGTTATTAGGATATATCGACCTGATCTGTTAATGTAAACTTTATATGTGCCTTATTTTATAACTATCAATGGTAAGTTCATTTAGAAATTTAATCTTCAAGGAAATAAGAAATCAAGTCTGAGCAGTTAGTCATCCTTTTTAGGACATCTGACTATATCACCATTCTGCGACATATTGCTAATACCCTTTCCTTTTTACTTGCTACTACCAGTGTTGATTAGTCTTCCTATTTTTGGTTCTACTTTTTCCTGGGATATTGGACTTACAGTTCTCAATACTTTACTTACACAAGTAAAACAAATACCTATTTACACTTTATACACAGACATATACTTAGAAGAAACAAATTATCCAGGTATATTAGCACACCACTACTTATTGGAAGCCATAAAAAATTAAACAAAATCCATGATATTTACTTCTTTCATGTAACAGCTACTTTGTTCATACTTTATATTTTTATTCTTGAGTACCATTATGAACTCATAGCATTTCAAAATATTTATATATTTACTTAGCAATAATTAGTATTGATGCTGTAATTGTTACAAGTTAGCCACTTAAAGCTAGTACTTTTGGTTTTGTTTTGACTATATCTTTGCTTTCTGGTACAGTAGGATGTGCCAGGCCCATCCTTAACTTTTTCTTCCTTTAACATCTAGAATCAGCTGAACTTTAAGGAGACTTACTCCTTTGAGAGGCTAATACAGTTGTATTAAAGAACCAAGTTGGGTGGTGAGGGTATGTAAGTTGTGCTACTGCTATTTTGCCACTTTATTTTATTTATTTATTTATTTTTCAAGAGATAGGGTCTTGCTCTGTCACCCAGGCTGGAGTGCAGTGGCACAATCATAGCTCACAGCAGCCTTGAGCTCCTGGCGTCAAGCAGTCCTCCCACCTCAGCCTTCTGAGTGGCCAGGCTATTTTGCCACTTTTTGCTGTGAGAGGTATGAAGAAAATGTGTCATTAATTCATTTTGATTTTTCAGTTTAACAAATCAGGTTATCATAAAATATAAGGTTTATCAACTGCTAAGACTTTCTATAAAAATAACATTTCAGATTATATCCATTCTTGCCCTCTCCAGCATATTCTCCACATTAAATCAGATTTTTTTTTAAATTCAGGGTTGATCCTTTCTGTCTCCCACTTAAAAACTTTCAGTAGCTTTCCACTGAATTTAAGATAAAAATCTAAAATCGTATCATCAGCTGGCCCCTGCCTACTTCTCTAAGACATCTATCAGTCTCTCTCTCTCATTCATTAATCCTTCCAACACTGGCTTTCTTTCAGACCTCAAATGCACGAAACTAGGTATTTGGTTCAGTTCTCTAGGAGTTCTTGGGCCAGAAGAAAGTAGTAGAGTAAATAATATAGTAATACAGCATCTTCCTGTTTGTATCTCTAACACCTAGGACAGTGCCTGTAACATGGTTAGCAGTCAACTTGCTGCTTCCTTTTCTTTTTGGTTTTGTTTTTTGTTTTTTGAGACAGGGTCTTACTCACTTGTACAGGCTGGAGTGCAGTGGTGCAATCACAGGTGACTACAGCCTTGACCTCCTGGGCTAAAGCAATCCTCCTGCCTCAGCCTCCTGAGTAGCTGGGACCACAGGCGTGCTCTACCACATCTGGCTAATTTTTGTATTTTCAGTAGAGATGGGGTTTCACCATGTTGCCCCGGCTGGTCTTGAACTCCTGAGCTCAAGTGATTTGCCCACCTTGGCCTCCCAAAGTGCTGGGATTACAGGCATGATGCGCCATGCCTGGCCACTCTTTTTTCTTAACTAAGTAAAAGCAGATCATATTTACATTTTTAGAAAAACTACACAAAAATGAATTAATGTATACATTGACATTATGGTTGCAAAACAAAGTAATTAATGTCTAGGTCAAAATGAAGTTCCTCAGCACTGTAAGACAGGGTGAGAGAAACAAACACACAAAAAGAAGAAATTCCAGCCAGGCACAGTGGCTCACGCCTGTAATCCTGGCACTCTGGGAGGTTGAGGCAGGTGGATCACTTGAGGTCAGGAGTTTGAGACCAGCCTGGCCAACATAGTGAAACCCTGTCTCTACTAAAAATAAAAAAAATTAGCCAGGTGTGGTGGCGCACGCCTGTAATCCCGGCTGCTTGGGAGGCTGAGGCAGGAGAATCCCTTGAACTTGGGAGGCAGAGGTTGCAGTAAGCTGAGATCACATCACTGCACTCCAGCCTGGGCGACAGAGCGAGACTCTGTCTCAAAAAAAAAGGAAAATCCAGGAACTTGTGGCAACATACAGGGGAAATACAGGCCAAAAAAGGATCCCGAAAAGATGAGTTTGAAGACATTTCCACTTGAGAAAAACTATGCATTCTGCTACTTCAAGTTAGCTAAGGGGCTTATTTATACTTAGATATATATCCCAACAAAAAATAACTAACTATAATATCTAATGAGTTGCTAAAGTACATGACTACATGCTGAATTATAACCCTTTAAAAATCATTAAAAGAATGGAGAACCCAAAAATAAACCCTTGCAATTATGGCCAAATGATTTTCGACAAGAGTGCCAAGACTACCTGGGTAAAGGACAGTCTCTTTAATAGATGGTGTTAGGAAAACTGGACACCCACATGCAGAACAATGAAGTTGGACCCTTACTTATACCATATACAAAAATTAACTCAAAATGGATCGAAGACCTAAATGTAAGATGTAAAACTGTGCCACGCGGTGGCTTAAGCCTGTAATCCTAGCACTTTGGGAGGCCGAGACGGGCGGATCACGAGGTCAGGAGATCGAGACCATCCTGGCTAACACGGTGAAACCCTGGCGGGCGCCTGTAGTCCCAGCTACTCAGGAGGCTGAGGCAGGAGAGTGGCGTAAACCCAGGAGGCGGAGCTTGCAGTGAACTGAGATCTGGCCACTGCACTCCAGCCTGGGTGACAGAGATAGTGAAACCCCATCTCTACTAAAAATACAAAAATTAGCTGGGAGTGGCAGTGTGCACTTGTAATTCCAGCTACTCAGGAGGCTGAGGCAGGAGAATTGCTTG